GGGTAGAGCAAATGGCAAAAACAAAGAAGTAAAATAATCAGTCTAACCCACGTGACCACTCGGAAGCAAATGACAAAAACAAAGAAGTAAAATACATATATATAAAATTTTGGTGCCCCTTTAATTGGAGGCCCATGGCCGTCGCCCTCCGTGCCCATGCCTCAGGGCCGGCCTCAGTCTAAGTCTAAGTCCGGCCTCAGTCTAAGTCTAAGTCGTTGCAATGAATAGACCAGCAAAAACAGACAAATGAATAGACCACTTCCAAGTAAGTTCCTTTCGTTAAATCCATTTGTCCATTCTTCCTTTCTTACAAGTCTAAGTCGTTGCATTTGGCTACCCGCCAATTTCATCCCCCAGGGTGCAATCCCAATCTTTGTCAACTTGTTCTGCCTTTATAAATTGGCACTGCAACAAATTATTCAATCATTTCAGGTTTTCAATCTCGGGGGGAAAAAAGAAAACGAAAAACATTTTGTAGTTGGAAGGAACTTGTCTGTTTTCTGTGCTCATGGAAAGAAGTCGTTTCCTCTTGTCAATAATGTTGTTGCTGGTACACCACAATTCTATATGTACAGTAGGTGCAACACAAACCAACATCACCACAGACCAGTCTGCTCTTCTTGCTCTGAAATCTCATATCACTAGTGATCCTTACAACATCTTGGTCAACTGGTCAACGACCACATCTGTCTGCAACTGGGTCGGCATTACTTGTGGTGCTCACCACCTCAGAGTAGCATCATTGAATCTCTTGTATATGAGTTTCACAGGCACCATTCCACCACACTTAGGCAACCTCTCATTCCTTGTTGCACTAAGCTTCAAAAATAACAGCTTCCATGGTTATTTCCCCCATGAATTGTCTTATTTGCGTCGCCTGAAGTTGATTAGCTTCAGATTCAACAATTTTATGGGATCCATTCCATCGTGGTTTGGGTCCTTCCCCAAACTTCAAAGCTTCGATTTGTATGGCAATCAGTTTTCAAGTACCATACCTTCGACTATCTTCAACTTGTCTACATTGCAAGACATAAATCTAAGCGCTAACAAACTATCAGGTACGTATGTGCCAACAAGGTATCTACACTATTGCCATTATGTTTCAACATCTTGTTATTAATCTATAAGCCTAATATGTTCTTTTCCTTTAGAAAATTAGTCTAACTTTTAATCACTTACAAGTCATCCAATACTAAAAACACACTCTCACTTGAATGGATTATGTATTTGGTTTTTAATTTTAAAAACAGTTGAGTCTATAATGTTGTTTTATTTATTTATATATACTCAAAGAGTTTTTACAAAACTTACATTTATGAAACTAGTGAGTACATGTTGGGCGTTGGGGGATAAAGACATAGATGATAGATTGTAAATAATAGGGAATATTAATGTCCTTTTTCACACGGAGGCCCATTATAACATGATATTTTATAAATATAAAAACACCCTTCAAATCTAATACTATAGAAAAATTCATTATTGTACCTTCGAGTGAAAAAAATTGTAACATACTAATAAACCAATTAGAAAGTGACCAAGTGAGTAGTTGAGAGTTTTTGTTTTCCTCCAAAATAGCCACTATGACAACTTTTCTATAAATGATGTAGTGTGGTGTAATTTTTTTTTTTCTAATTTCATTTATTTACATGTATTTTGAGTCTTTGTTTGGCATATTTAACAGGTGCAATACCCAAAGAAATAGGGAACTTAACAATGTTGAAGGAGATATACCTTGACTCCAACAATTTCAATGGTATATATATTTGTTGCATTGCCTTGATGTGATACAGTTATATATGACTCGACTTTTGTTGTAGTGCATTATATGTGCATAAAACATGAGTTTAACATATAAATGTGCATATATCTTAATGATTTTTCAGAAATTCCAAAAGAGATTGGCTTTTTACAGCAGCTGGAGAAGTTGTATGTGCAGTCCAATGCCCTAAAAGGCCCTATTCCTATGGCTATTTTCAACATGTCTTTTTTGACTACGTTGGCTCTATTTGGAAACAGCTTGAGTGGTGGTCTTCCAGACAATATATGCCAACATCTTCCTAGTCTTCAAATCTTGAATTTGGGTCGCAACAAGTTTGATGGTCCACTTCCATCCAAATTATGGCAATGCAAAGAGCTTCTTTCACTTCTTTTGGGGCAAAACAATTTCAGTGGAAGCATACCAAAAAATATTGGGAACTTAACAATGATGAATGGGATATACCTTGACTTCAACAATTTGACGGGTAATTGATATTTTATTATGTTGATCCAATTACGATTTATCTTTTTTATTTTGGTTGCACAATTTATCGTTATTTAACTATTTCATATTTTAGTAAATGAGGGAGATGGTTAATCATGAATATAACAATTTTTTTTGTTGTTGTCAAATTCGCTGGAAAATTCATTAGAATCGAATAGCAAGGTTTAGAACCATGAATATAACATACTGACTTGCCTAATAAATGTTCTATCTAAGTCAATATGTTCAAATATAAAGTTAACCAAAGTAAGAAGAAGAAAAAAAAGAAGAGGAGGTATAAAGACATGCAAACAAAAACGTATTTTGCTCAAAGGGAATGTGACATTTTGTAAACCATATTTTTTCATCCCCAAATTATGGCCAGTTTTCTTAATTTGGTTCAAACACAAAACTTTTTAGAGATTTCCGTGTAAATATTGTCGTATTAATTAATATTATGAGTGTGACATTTTATGAGTAGATAGTGTTAGGTTAGATTAATAATCTGAATGGCCTCATCCCATTTTCAATCTTCAATATCTCCAAGATAGAAAAAAAAAATATTGATTGAATTGCCGTTTCTATTTAAGTCAATATTCTTTTCAACTAATGCTAATGCTACAACATTTGTGAAATTGTGGCAGGCACTATACCAGATGAGATTGGTGATCTTCAAAATTTAGAGTTTTTGTCAATCGAACAGAATAATCTCAATGGCCTCATTCCATCTTCACTCTTCAATATCTCCACAATGAGAGCACTGTCGCTTACTTTTAATCAACTATCGGGTAGCCTCCCAGCAAACATAGGCCTTGGGCTTCCAAACCTACGACAGCTATATATAGCAAGCACTAACCTCAGCGGAGTAATCCCCAACCTCTCCAATGCTTCTATGCTCACAGAGCTAGACTTGGGCCAAAACTCATTTACAGGGTTTATTCCAATCACGCTATGTGCCTTAACAAACCTTAAGCGGCTTAGGTTATCAATGAATAATTTGGCAATTGATACTTCAACTCCAGAAACAACCACTCTCTCTTGTTTGGCTAATCTTAGAAGTTTGACAGCACTAAGCTTGGACGCTAATCCGTTAAATGCCACACTTGATGATTTCTTTTCGAATTTCTCTACATCAACGCTTCAACGTATTGGTTTAAGAAACTGCAGCATGAGGGGTAACATTCCCATTGGTATTGGCAACATAAGCAGCTTGATATCCTTAGACCTCGGAAACAATCAATTGAGTGGATCAATTCCAAATTCATTAGGAAGACTTGGAAATCTCCAAGGTATGAACTTGAATTACAACAAATTGCAAGGTTACATCCCCTATCAACTTTGTCAACTATATAACCTAGTTTACTTACAGTTGGCTAGTAATCAGTTTTCTGGTTCTATACCTTCATGCTTGGGTAATCTAGCTGCATCTTTAAGATATCTATCACTAGAGTCCAATTTGTTGAGTTCCACAATACCATCTACTTTTTGGAGACTTGCCTATATCTTACAAGTAAACTTATCATCCAATTCTCTAATTGGACCTATCTCACAAGATATTGCAAAGTTGAAAGTTGTTGTAGAGGTAGATTTATCAAATAACCATTTATCTGGTGCTATACCAAGCACCATTGGGGGTCTTCAGGATCTAGTTAATCTCTCCTTGGCAAATAATAATTTGGAAGGCCCTATTCCAAGTTCATTTCACGACTTGCTAAGCCTGCAACTCTTGAATTTATCCAGAAACAATCTATCTGGAGTGATTCCCAAGTCTTTAGAAGCTCTGTCACTTCTCAAGTATCTGGATTTGTCTTTCAACCGGCTCCAAGGAGAAATTCCAACAGGTGGACCATTCCAAAACTTCTCTGCTCAATCATTTGTCTCAAACAACGCATTATGTGGTGCACCCCGACTTCATGTTCCACCATGCAAAAATACTACACTTGAACCAAATTGGAAGAAAGCTAAATATATCATCCCAGGGATCATATCAGTAATTCTACTAGTGGCCTCCATATCTATATTTGTACTACACAAGAAAAGAAATGTGGAAGTTGCAGGAGAGGCTACCTCGTTGCCTCAACTTCTTTGGAAAAGAATTTCACACCTGGAACTTCTAAGGGCCACGAATGGATTTAACGAAAACAACTTACTTGGAAGTGGGGGTTTTGGCTCAGTATATAAAGGGACGCTTTCAGATGGAATAGATGTTGCAGTAAAGGTTTTCAGTTTACAGCTAGAAGGGGCTTTCAAGAGTTTTGATAGGGAATGTGAAATGCTAAGCAATATTCGTCATAGAAACCTTGTCAAAATCATCAGTTGTTGCAGTGAACTTGATTTCAAAGCCTTGGTACTGAACTACATGCCTAATGGGAGCCTGGACAAGTGGTTATATTCTCAAAACTATTCTTTGAATATCTTACAGAGGTTGAACATAATGATAGACATTGCAGCAGCAGTGGAATACCTACACTATGGTTATTCAATACCTATTGTGCACTGTGATATGAAGCCCAGCAATATACTACTAGATGATGATATGGTTGCACATGTTGCTGATTTTGGAATTGCAAAACTCTTGGGTGGAGGTGATTCTATTACCCAAACCATTACCCTAGCCACAGTTGGGTATATGGCTCCAGGTGATGTACTTGCTAATTTAATATCTTTCAATTACGAACAACATAACTTAAAATGTTCTTTTCATCAAATGTCATTTAGATATATAAGTACAACTCAAATATAATTCATATTGCAGAGTATGGAATGGAAGGAATAGTTTCAACAAGAGGTGATGTGTATAGTTTTGGTATTGTGCTCATGGAAACATTCACAAGAAGGAAGCCAACATATGAGATGTTTGATGGGGAAATGAATATAAAGCAATGGATTGCAAACTCACTAGTATTACCAGATGCAAAGATAGATGAAGTTGTGGATGCCAATTTGCTTAGGATTGGGGCAGAGCAGGAAGATGATGATCATGTGAGGAAGAGGGATTGCATATCAGCCATTATGAGATTAGCTCTTACTTGCTGTGCAGAATCACCAGAAGAGAGGATAAGTATGAAAGAAGTTACAGCCACACTCAACAAAATCAAGACGAAGTTTTTGAAGGAGGCTACTGCAAGAAGAGGTGTGCTGTTAAACCGTCCTCTTGTTCAGCAACGCTTCAATTAATAGGTCCTATCCTATGACATGTATTTCATGCATTTTGGTTTGATTCAATTTTAGTCTTTAATTTGGCCAATGTAGAGGAAGGCATGTCGTTTTATTTCGGTTTTTGACTGATTTTATGGTGGAGATGTGTATTTTCGGGGTTGTAAAGCTATTTTTTACATCCCCTTTACATCTTCGAGTATTGTAAATGTGGTTTTTGTTCCAATGAGGAATATGTAAATCTAAATATGTATAATTGATTTTGCTAACTTTTGACCACTTTTCTCACTGTTTTTCGTGTAGGCCCCACTTGTAAGGGATATAAAAAAGGATGCACACGTGCATCTAAATTTGCATATCACGGTTGTGATACAAATTTACAATTGTTTACACCTCTCTATTGTAGGTGACTTTGATCAGTGTTTATTTAACAACATACACCTCATTATACAACCCTCCCACTGAAGATGCTCTTATAGTAACAATTTTTTTATTTTTTATTAAAAAAAGAGGAGTCACCAAAGATTTTCATAGAATTATGAATAAAGAAAGAAAAAATTGGTTGGAGAGGGTTTGTTAGCTTAAATTATGTTTAGAATATTCCCAAAGGTTGGTTTTTTTTTTTTTTTCATAGTTCCAATCCAAATGTGCTGTCATTCCATGGAGGGTTTGGTTTGGAATTTTGTGGATTAGGTGATGCCTTATGTGCATTATGTTAAACTAAACCTCCAAATTGATTCAAATTTAATGTATTTTATCCACACAAAGAAGAAAACACATAGCTGAACTTAGCCAAAGATCACGTGGCCAAGGCAGGTAAATTTGACCACGTGGACTCAAGTCATATATGTATGTAGCCGGTGTAGGTGGTGGTGATCAATGGATCACGTTTGCTTCCCTCCCTCCAAATCCATTGGAATTTATTTGATGCAGAATTGCAGACTGCAGAGTAATAACTAAAAGTTTGATTAATTGCACTCTACCCCTTAAAAGTCTAATTCCAAGGGTCCCACCAAGCATCATACATTATCTATTTATTTACCTATTTATTTTCCATCTAAGTTATTTAAATCAATTTAAAATTATTAAAGAATATAAATCTCACATCGAAAATTGTATTTGTAGTGCTGGACTTCCTCACTTTCCAAAAGCCTCTGACACCATCAAGGCTTGCATCATTCTGTAACCATAACACACATAAGTTCTCTCCTAGTTGAATAAAAACATGAAAAAAATAAAGGCTTATAAATCTTTCTCGAGTGAAGCCAATTAGTCATTTTACAGTAGAAACAACAGACCATTTTCTTGTATCGCAAAGATCCTATCATTCAATTATATATAAAATAAGATTAATCAAAAGAAAAAGCGCCACTACAAACCGCTAAGAATTGGAGCAACCACCTCCAACTTTCGAAGCTGTCTCCCAATAGTCTTCTTCACTCTTTAGCAACCACTTCCTAGATTTGAATAAGAAGACCAAAAAACAAACATTTTTTTAATAATTAAAAACTGTACAATAATCGAAAATTTGCCTACAAATCATTATTATATTATTTATTTTTATCTTTTACATTTACTAATATATTTTACAGAAAGTAATATATGAGATAGTGGAGATGATATTTTATTATAGAAAGTAAGGGGGGCCCAATATACCTCTTCACTTTGAAGTAGGCAATATTGCCTTGTTTGGGAGAGTATGTATATTTTGCCTACCCATTTGCCTCTTCCCTTGGAACATGAAAATATTGATGTGGCAAATCAAATGAGTTTTGCCTACTCTTTTACCTCTTCTCTTGGAGATGCTCTAAATTATGTAGTTGTCACGGTGTTTTTTTCTTTCTAATTTTCTTTATTTTAATGTATTATGAGTCTTTGTTTAGCATACATAAACAATGCTGAAGGAGATACACCTTGACTCCAACAATTTCAACGCATTGCCTTGCCTTGATGTGACCCCATATATATATATATATATATATATCACTATGCTTTTTTTACAATACATTATATGTGCATAAATCATGAGTTAAATGATTTTTTTTCAGAAATTTTAAACGAGATCGGTTCTTTAGATCAAGTGGAGATGTTGTATGTGGGGTCCAATGCTCTTAAAGGCCATGTTCATGTGGCTGTTTTCAACATGACTTCTTTGGCTACTTCGGATCTATATGGAAACCGCTTCAGTGGTGGTCTTCCATATAATTTATGACATCATCTTCCTAGTCTTCAGAATGGGTACTTTGGTAGCAACCACTTTGATAGTCCACTTCCATCCAAATTATAGTAATGCAAAGAACTTCTTAATTTATGTTTATGTGGAAACAAATTCAGCGGAAGCATACCCAAAAGTATTGGGAACTTGACCCAGTTAACTCATATTGATCTTGGCATCAACAATTTGACAGGTAATTGATATTTGGGAGAATTTAACATAGACCCCCTCAAGTTTGGTATAACTAACATTAGACCCCACAAATTTGAAATTGTATAAATTCAAACAAGCGTTAGGCTAAAAGCTCAAATCACTGAGCTTTCTATATAATTGAGCCTGAATACACTACACTTCGCGCGACGAAGAGAATTTCGTCGAGCAAAATACATTGTAGTCGCACAAATTTCAGCACGACAGAAACTTCGTCGCGCAAAGATCGTGAAGAAAGACTTTGCGCGACGAAGTTTTTCATTGGTCGCTCAAAGTGACTTTCCGCGACGAAAAAATATTGGTCCTACAAAGTGACTTTGCGCGACGAAAAATATTGGTCACGCAAGACCTTGCGCGACGAAAAATATTGGTAAAGTTTTGCGCGACGAAAAACATTGGTCGCGCAAAGTGTTGCGTGACGAAAAACTTTGGTCACGCAAAGTCTTTAAAAAATTTAAAATAATAATAATAATTCCCGCGTTCCATTTTTGGTACCCGCCCAAATTTTTAGAGTTTTTCGCGACGAATACTATTTGCACGACGAAATATTTTGGTTTTTGACTTTTTGTTTTATTATTTCTTTAATATTAATTTAATTATAAACCCAACCCATAGATAATAATAAAGCTGCTTATGGGCATTTTAGCCCAACGCCTAACATGAGAGAAGAATGGCCCAAGTTCCATTGCATGTGTTTGATTTTTACAAGAGAATAAAAACTTATTGGAACATTCATATTCTGATTGTTTGATTGTTTGATTGTTTGATTGTTTGTTTGTAGACAAAAAACAATCTGAATATATAAAGATAATGACATTAGGAATAATGTGTGTCTTCTCTTCTCTTATTAATCCTAAAAGATCAAAGAAGATATTAATATCATCAATTTGCGTTTCCGTTTCAAGTTTGGCACAAACAAACTGAGCCTAATCACATGGGCCAAATTATTTACCAGAAAGTAGGAAGGGAGGGTTAGGCAGGCAGGCTCCTACATACCATGTGAGTGTCAGCAAAGAAGAAAGAACGAATTCCAAACCTAAAACTAAAACTAAAACTGAAGCATGCAGTGATGCAATTGCAAACAAGGGGTCCTGCCTGGCCAATGGATCAACTTTCATGGCTTCATCCATCAGGCCTAAAATGAAGAGGCTTGGGATCTGTGGAAATATCAGACAAACAAACAAGAGCCTGCACAGGGTAGGCATTGCCAAACAAGCAACATATGATGATGATATATTAATGAAAAAAATTTAAAATTTGGAGAGAATATACCTTTTAGCAAGATTGAGAGTGAGTGAGAATGAGAGAGAGAGAAGTGAGTGTGAGAGAATTAGAGAAGATAGTGATAGAGAGATGAGAGAGTGAGTGAGAGTGAGAGATAGTGAAAAGAGAGATGAGAGAGTGAGTGAGAGTGAGAGATACTAAAGAGAGAGATGATGAGAGATTAAGTGAGAGGAGTGAGTGT